ACTTGTTCTGGTCATCTGTAATGACATTCATTCATTCATTCAACTCAATACCAATTTTGACAGCAGGCTACTTGTTTTTTGCGACAAACATTGTTGTGTGTGTGTGTGTGTGTGCGTGTGTCTAAAGCGTATTTGAAATAATATGAAATTCAGACTGGAAAATATCCCTTGGTTACTATCCTATCTCTATCAATAAATCCTCCCTCTAATACATTTGTTCCGGAACTCATCAAGAATCCTGGTCGGAACAGGGTCATTCTAAGTGGAGTTTGCATGTCCAAAATTCCATGCAATGCGATAAGTCCTTTATTATTTGTCCAAGTCACCTGGGCCTCAGCTGGACTAATGCGCTGCAGGAAGTGTGTGTGGAGAGGGAAGTCTGGGCATCTGCTCAGACTGCTGCCCTCACAACCTGGCAGAGAAAAAGCGGAAAGAAAATGTGAATGTTAAGATATGTGTCACGCATTGTTTTTAAGAAAAACATAGCAATAAGATTTTTTGCCGGGTTTATTTGAATAGTAATTCTGTAGTTGTTTTGCAACTACAGAAAGGTATAACATGTTTATTCACAAAAACATCCATCCTGCAGCAGAATGGATTTGATCTGCATTCAAACAAGTTTCTAACAACATTATACATAGATGAATCTGTCTATTAGGTCCTACCTAACTGGACATGTCCACTCCTGGCCTGTGTGTTCTACACTAGTAGCTTCAGTAATAACTTAAAACATAACAACAGAAATTTGTACACTATTTTTCTTTACATTATTCCTTTACATGTCAACACATCTGTGAGAGATTCACTTTCCAGATCCATATCATTCTCTTCTTTACAACATGTTACATGAATGTAAAATCTCAACAAACAAATAGTATTTTATCACTTACTGTACTTTCTGTACATTTTGGCTCCATATGAACACATGATAATTAAGCCATGCCATATTTATTTACTTTAGGAGCATTCAAAAGAAAATACTAAAATGCATTTTTTAAACAAGCTAAACATGTACTATTCATCAATCTATCTAATCTCTTTATCATGCTTTTATTAAAAAACTAGTCGTCTTTTCTCCAACAAAGCAGAAAACGTTCCCAGATCTAACGTTGCCTGGGACCACATTAAGACCACATTCCAGACTGAACAATAGCTTTAGGAAAGTTTCACAGTACACCATTCCTTCATTTCCTTATTTACATCCTAAAACCATCCACAAAAGACTGTGTGAGCACATTACCCATGACCTTGACTTAACAACCGATTTGTTCCAACATCTAAATGCTTAACTACCGCTGTCCTGGCTGCTGCTACATTAACCAGCTCAGCACCAGGATCCTGTAATGACCAGTGGGAGCTCTCGCACAGCCACACTCGCTCCACTATTGCTTCACATAAACAAAGTCCCCTGGGTCAGGAGGGTCTCGGCGCAGCAGGGACCCTCCACATAAGTGTACACGCCTCCCCCTCCCTCCCCCTCTCTGTCCCCTGTGAGCTCATTAGCCTCAATCATAGCCACTTCCCTATGTCTACCAATACACGGTCCATCCATCCCCGCCCCGCCACACACAAATTACATTCTCCATCAGAATAGTGTACAAGTCTATAGGTCTTTATAAAGGACAGAGGAAGGTCGTAGGGGTCCCACGGGCTTGGGGTATGCTCCCTGCGGAGAGAGGAGGCAACAGCGGATGACCCGGGGTGAGTTGATGCGATAAAGGAGGTTGAGAAGGAGGTTAAGATTTCCAGGTGATGGAGTGGACAGGTACACTTTAGAGCTGCTTTGTGACCCACTTGTGCACGGAAGGGGAAAAATGGGAAGCATCGAAGGACCCCCAACGGACTGCCAAAAGAGAATGGGATACGACAGCAGAGCCATCAGTTTGGTAAATAGATCTCTGCGGTCTTTTCATCACAGCGTGTTCTAATCAGCGACTCATTGTGGTCATTACAGACTCGTATTCTTAATCAGGCTCTTGGCACACGACATGAGTGGATATGCACACATGCGCGGACACTAAGTAAACATCGTAATTTTGACACCAATCATGCCAGCCCAGTCAATGAGTTCTCCTTCTCCCCCCCCCTCCTGTATCCCAGACATAACAGAACGGTCCATCAAAGTGTCAGTTTGTTAGTAGGTATTTCAGTAAAACTCACTTCAGAACTTCAAATCACTGGTCAAACCCCGTTCAAAACTGCCTACGCACAACAGGTTTATTTTAGTTTTTTGTTTTGTTTCTTATGAACTTGTCCTTTTGTGAAGCATCTTTGAGTGTCCCAAAAAAGAATTATGTAAGTACAATGTATCATTATTAGTAGTTTTTCCCTGGCGTTAGTGGTACCATTTACAAATTATTTTTCCTTCCATCCACCCATCCATTTTCTACCCCTTAATCCATTTTTGGGTCGGGGGTGTGGCCAGAGATGCCACCCAGTCCACAGAGCACCAGCCCCTCACTGATCCTCCTGCAGATGGTGAGTCCACAAGAGCTGAGATCTTTCAGCGGGGGCTTCAGGCAAAGTGGGGTTAAGTGTCTTGCCCAAGAACACAACAACAGCAGTCATCAGTGGGAGTCAGTGGAGAAGGTTTCATGGTGGGCTTGAACCCACGACCTTCAGGCTCAAAGGCCAATGCACTACCAACTGAGCCACTGTCGTTCCCAACTTATTTTTCCAAACAACTTTGTTTTACTCTTTCACTTTTACAACAAACTTGTCAAGTGCTTTGTGTGACCTTGTGAAATGTGATATGAACAAAGAGTACTTACTTCCCTGAATACTTTTAAATCCAAATATCTGTACTAATGCTTTTGCCTTATAGTGACTTATTGTGTGCATCATGTGCACTTGTATAGTTATATATATTACAATTGATTGTAATAATAATAATATTGTAATTGTAATTTTTCGTGTGCCTTCTCTACTCTTTACCTCTCTTTCTGACTGTTGCACTGAGCCAAAACAATTTCCAAGTCAGTGACTTCCTGTTACTTACGTGGCAATGAAAATGATTCTGATTCTAGGACTTTGCATATGGCAACATGACATAAACATCACTTTTGAAGTGGTTAGACAGGCTCCTAAGTAAACCAATTGTATGTGGTCAGTCATAAAGTTCAGATAACCATTCAACTTAAGTTCTAAATGTGTTGTTCATTGTCAAATAAGACTTGTACTTTTGCCACCTCTGTATCAAGAAGATTTTAAATTGATTTCAAGATCCTTATTACCAAAAGTAGTGGCTGAATTCTATTTTAAGTTAACCAAATAAAGCAATTCTGTGTTGTCAAAGAAAAGATGAGGTTGAAAACTTGAACTGTTCTCATATAAAAGATTACCATTCAACTGAACACACTGTAAGTGTCCATGGAACATTGCTTTTGTTATGATAAGTTTCAACATCAATGTATATACGGTATTACTATGGACACTCAAGAGCTCAGTTAAAAAAAGATACATGAAATCACATTGTAACTCGATAAATTGAAAGTGAGTGAAGTGCGTTTCAACGCGCCAAATTGTCATTGTTTCCACAAATCTGACCAGAACTTCTGAAATGTTTTAACAAAATCCTTTTAAACCCTATAGAAATACATACTGATTTGTGAGTCGATCCAGTGAAAGCTGTATGCTTGGCATGTCACTGGGTTTTCTATTGATAACGGACATTAGCATATTCATGATCATTGCCAGCCTCTTATTGTTTGCTCGCTTCATTAATCTTCATCTTCCGGAGAGGACTGACAGCTCAATCTCACAGGCCATCGTCGGGCAGCGCACACAAACACGCAAACATAACTTACTGCGACAATAGAGGTGGATTGTTTTGTGTTGTAATAAAAGCACACACACACACACACACACACACACACACACACACACACACACACACACACACACACACACACACACAGAGGGATGGTGTGATTGGCATTCACCCCTCTGAGGATAATCAGTGGAGGTGATGTGCCCAGCTGTGAGCCTCCCCTGGCATCACGCGCCCGACGGCTCGCACCTCCTCCTGAGCAAGACCAAAGAGAAAGAATGCAGCTATACATACTTCAACTTTCAAAAGGCAAGTTACAACACCAACCTAAAATGCCTCCAAAAAAGTGATAAAAAAGTCTGAGGACCCGTTGGAGCTCAGAGTGAGGACTGGACTCTTTGTAAAGCTGAGGTCCTGTACTTGCAGCCTTTGAGGTCCCGTTTACTCGAATTACAAGCGGAAACTATCTTTGCACAGAGAAAGATCAAACTCCAAAGTCTGCTTACATTTCTGATGGTAAATATTGAAAATTGGATCTATTTTCCTATTTAGCTGAGGCAAATGTTACTGGAAATGAGATTTATGGACTTGTAATAATAAAAATACAGTTTTATACGTCACCTTTTGGCTCTCAAAGACGCTTCACATGGAAAAACTGTTCCTCTGCACCCACTGTAGGGATAAACTACTACTGTGGCCAGAAGCTGCCCTGGGGTAGACTGAGAAAAATGAGGCAACCAGTGCGTGACATCAGCCCCTCTGACCAACACCAATCATTCACACATCACACACTAGTTTCAAACTCTGTAATGTGGGTGAAGTATCTTGCCGAAGAACAAAGCAATAACTTTGTGGCACCTGGTGTTCCCAGGGGTCTCCCTCACAGTACAGGAGTTCAAAATTAGAATTAGCTATACACTCTATATGTATTACATCAGTCGCATCGTTCCTGCTTTGTGTGTGTGTGTGTGTGTGTGTGTGTGTGATGTCTGTCTATAAGTTTACATACTTTCTATTGAGCCAAAGCAATTGTAGAAGACGATAATAAGTAATTCCCTAATCTTATGCCATGCAAAGATGATTGTAGCAATTACAAACACGCATCAGGTGACACTTTAGTTAATAAGAAGCTGTGAAATAATAAATCATGCTAATGTGTTTGTTTAGGGCTGTGCGTGCGTATTCAGCGCACATATGCCTGAGTGCAGATTAGAGGGAGAACGGGGGCTGGATGGGTGCCAGGTCTGATGGGAGGTCTGCCCCCCTTCTGGCCCCCACCCCCTGTTGTCTTCACCTGCTGCTCCAGGAAGACGGCTGGGGGCGATGTCAGTGTGCGCAGCTACAGAGGGAGGTGAGAATAATCCTAGTTATTCAATTGGGATCACACTGCCACAAATATAAGTCTATTTCTAGATGATTTAAAGGAGACATTTTTAAAGATTTTTTTTTTTTTTTACTTTAATTCACACATCAGTTACAGACTTGAGTTGTTTTTAGATCCATCCATGCTAAGGTCAGGAACCTCTGGCACAAACATGTATCGCCACTTCCTCTGTGTAAAGTAAAGGTGTCAATGAGAAGTTTTTGGAGAAAAAACAAAACATGACTAAATAAAACCAGTCAGGGTGTTGAACCCAAAACGGGTATTTTACTAAAAACGAATGCCTTGTTTTATTTTTACAAAGTTCTCATGTGAAGCACTTTCTTTGTTGAAGTGAGGACAGAAAATGCAAAGCCGAGATCTCAATACAGACTCATGTGTTTCCAAGGAAAAGGACGGAGTACAGGTCAGATTTGACTCCTGAGAAGACGAGGTGGAGATCTCACTCTGGTCCCAACAAAATCGCATCTTCATCTTTCACCCTTCTGCTTTGTTTCATCTTCTGCTCAAGTTGAATTGTTACTTTAGGAGCTAAGTTTGTGATTCACTGCTGCCTCATTGTGGCACATGGTGTTCTCAGAGGTCTCCCATCACAGTACTAACCAGGCCTTGCCCTGCACAGCTTCAAAGGTCTGACAGGAAGTTTGGCCACAACAACAGAGTCTCTCAAAGCTTTCAAGTATTTTAGGAAAGGGTACAATAAACACAACGCTGCTCATTGGAGACAGCTACTAAACATCCGTTTTCTGAGTACATTTTAAATACAAGATTAAAGTACTTTTCCAGGTATCTTTACAAAGCCGACATAACGAAAGCATGTTCGACCATTCTGAGAATCATGCAACAGGTTTCTTCAAGTGACAGACAATTCATTAACAAATGTAAGATGCATTTTCCTGTCCCTTCCACTGGAAGCTCAATGAAATGGGAGACTGCCTCCACTTCAGTCAGATCAGCTGCACAGGACTGGCACGTTGTGTCTGGAACATCAACAACAACACAAACACTATAAAATTGATGCAAGATGATAAATAACGGTCAAAAAACGTCCAAAACTCAATCTTTTTGAGTGGGACAGTGCAGGCTTTTTAACTAAATCAAATCAAAGAGCCTTTCCTGTCAATTTGGGCCTGTTGGCAAATGTTATTATATGAAGACTTTCTGCATTAGACGTTGGGGCCTCGCAGGCAAAGAAGCACAAATCCACCCGTTTCAGTTGAGGTTACATCATTTCTATGCAAAGACTGACTATAATTTCATACATTTTGAGAGTTGTATTTTGTATCACCCAAATCATTACCAAACATGTGTTAGGGAAGGACTGTGAAAAATGAAGAAAAGGAAAATATGGGAGGTTGTATTTTCACACTGCGTGAGTTGTGTAGTCCTTTGTGTGGTCCTTTGTATGTTATAGTTACTTTATGTGTATGCAATAAAGTTTATTCCATGATTTTTTATCGGTTTACACAACACTATGATTAACATCTAATGTTCAGGATGGGAAATTCTTTGTCTAATTGTGATACGTTAGAATACTGGTGCAGACAAGATGAGGCAGAAACTGTATCTTGGACTGCATCAAACGCACAAACATTTACATTTTAATAAAGCCGCAGTGAGCTACAAATGTGTGCCATTGTTTACATAAAGTACAAATCATACTGTGTTTGAATGCCTGGCCATAAAGATCATTTTATGTTACCTTTAATATTCCGCTATCAGAGATTATACAAGCTAGTTTTATGTTGCTTTAGTAAATCATTCCTCTTGTCTCCTTCTTCTCCTGTGTGTTTAAAACTACTGCACTGGTCCTTTTACGAGGTGGAAGCTAATACATTTCAATATTTTATGGAAGTAGTAAACTCCGAAATGCATAATTTGCTTTTACATGTGTAAAAGGGGATCATTATGCGCGGTGAATACAAAGAGATTCATTGGTATTTTTCCTGCTTGTCTTTGATGACAATGGCTCCAGAAAGAAAAACAGTTGGTTTTCTTTTCATTTGAACCAAACGACAATATATTGTTGTATATATCGGGGAAATTATGTCCAAATATTCAGATGACGTCATGTTTCAGCAACCATCCAACAGTCCAGTCTACAATTACAATTATTCTGCCCGGGGAGCAACAACTGATATGGGTGAAGATCAGGAAACTATTGTGGGGGCCTTTCATTATGGACACAAAAAACGCTGACCAGATATTACCGGGAATCGAACCAACAAACCTCTGTTATGTGAGGCATGTGTCGTGAGGCAGCGTTCTCTGAGTTGTTTGGAGAGTCCTGTGAGCATGCTGCTACTAAAGACAAAGTCATTCTCTCGTGTGAAAACCATGAAATGCATTGATGTTTTTAGATGGGAGAAAGCTATATTTTTATGCCAAAAGGACAACCTGGCCATATGGAGGTTTCAAATGTGATGAGTGAATAACAAATGTGTTCAAAAGAGCGAGAAATTGCTCATAGTTTTGGAAAAGACAAAGATTTTTCAGGACTGTGCCTAAAATATGTGCCTAAAATATAACTATAGTTACTTGTTGCTCATAAATTATGAGTTCAAGTCAGTGGGCTCATTCATTCTCTCTGAGCAAAACCCAGAGTTTGCCTCTTCCTCACTGACTGAGCGACATGAGCTTGTGTGTCAGAACGACTTGCCATTTAACCCGCCTCTCAGCGTAGTCTTTTTGCAGTCTTCCTGAAAATGTGAGACAAGCTTCTTCTCTGACAATGTTCAAATCCAGGTTAAAAACAGTTCTGTTTAGCTGTGGACACAACTGAGGGATCATATCTTAAATCTTGTTAATGTACTGTGATTATTTACTTTGATGCCTTGTGTGACTGTCTCCATCTTTTTCTGTTCAGCACTTTGAGTTGCCCTGTGTATGACATGTGCTATACAAATAAATGTGCCTTGCCTTTCCACAGATGAGGTTTAGGTTTTTGTACACACTGCTCGTTTTGTTATAATTTCGTCTTTGTTAAAATGTTGTCCTTATATTTCCCCCCATGGACGACAGACCATAATAATGTGATTTCCTGAGGGCTGGGGTGCAAAGAAAGCTGTGACTTGAGAAGACTTATTTTGAAACTAGCACGTTTTTATGGCTTTTTTGTCTTTGACATTTCTTCTAAAAGCCAACACGGGTTCAAACAAAACACATCTCTTTCCAGCAGTTGTCCCGGAACGACGCACCATTTCAAAACGCAAGTCTGGTGGCTTGGTCCAATGAAAGGCTATTCTCTGAAGAAAGACTGCAATACATTCTAAAATGTATTGTCTTCATCTTCTCAGAAAACATTTTATATCTTTTGTGTTAAATATAATACAATAAAAGAAAGTCATGCGAGTCAATATATGGCACACTGGGCTGAGAGTGGATTTTGAAGAGGGTAGATAACTCTTTCACCTTTCTTACTTTTTTCCCATTGTTTTTTTCTTTTTGGTTGAGTTGCCAAAGGCTCCATGTGGATGTTATTTTTGCATTTTCTGTGTTCAAATGTGTTAGATCTGTTAGATTCTCTGATCTGTTCGATGAATTAACAACTTTCTCCGAGACGACTGCTGTTGTGATTTAGGGCACTAGAAAGATTATCCATCCATCCATTTTGTTCGCCCTTTTCACCAAAAACTAATTGAATTTAATTGGGAAAAAAGGCACGCCGATTGAGGCACCTGCAAGTGAACAATTGGGGATGTAGCCAAACTCACGTACCCCAGCTTTACCATAGTACCAGTAGTTATTAGATCTTGCTGCATAGGACAGTGTGGGTGTCTATGCTCTGTTTCCAGGCCAGAGGCTGTGACTATGTGACCTGCTTACACCGGCGCGCAGGGGCGGTGATGTATGGGCCCTCCGCGGCTTCGCCCCTCATCAGCTTCATTTACCCCATGATTAACATCCAATCATGAGCTGTGATTAAAGCCACAGTAAAAAATATTCCCCACATAGTTAATATTCTGCTAACAAGGAAAGCAGCTCCCAAACTGCCAACTAAATAGATATACAGCCACGCGAGCGCACATACATCTCGCCTGAAAAGTCACACCTAAACATTTCGCGGCTATCTGCTCCCCCCCCACCCCCCGCTCAGTGCTGGCTATGTGGAATTAGAAAAGCCACCCCGCGGTCTCATTAATTAATTAAAGAGTGTGCGCCGATGGCACCTGGGCACCGGTTATCACTGCAGCTCAGACGCACCGTGATCTGAAACAGGCTCCACGGGGCTCAGGGCCGAGGGGGATGGACGGACTTGTTCGGTTCAACTTGGAGCGGCAGACATTTTCAGAAAGAGAGAAAAGTCCATACATACACTTATATAGTCCATATAGGAGGCTGCCTGCGGAAGAAGTCTAGGTCTATTTCTGATTATGTGTGGAACGATATTGTACAAGAAAGTGCATTTGTGAGAATTATGGGGATTCTATGTATAATATTTAAGTGAGAATTTCAAAACCACTTGTTGTATTTATTAATGCTTCCGTATATGTCATGCTTTGGTTCAATAGGGGAAGCTTGAATAGATATTATTGGTCAAAAACAAGAGCAAGCATGTGATCAACATAAAGACGAGAGAATAGACAGCTCTGTTTGTGTACAAGTCTCTCCATGGCCTCGCACCAAAGTAGTGACATAAGAACCCACCCGAACTCTGAGGAGCACAGGTTGGTGTCCAGAACCAGAACTATACATGGCATTTTTGATTTTTTCGGCTCAAATCTGCAAGTCTTTCTTAGACGGGCTTCTACTCTGAGAATGTTCAAATCCAGGTTAAAAAACTGTTGTTTTGCTGTAGATACGCTGTACTGTATGAGATGAGATCACCTATCCCCCATGACAGGTTTATGAGAAAAAATAAATAAATACATGTGAAAGCTACATCCTGTCAGACCCCTGAAGCTAAGCAGGATAGGCCCTGGTTAGTACTGTGATGGGAAACCTCTGGGAACCAGGTGCCACTGAGGTGCAGCTAGTTATGTACCAAACTGTTGTGTCCAGGCCAGACTTATTGCCCAGAATGAGTCTGGTGTCTGCATGAATGATTGGTGGAGGACGAATACTATTTGCCTTACTTCTGTGAGGTCTGCCCCTGGACAGGTGTGGCTGCACTAAGTCTATTACTACCATATACAGAGTGAATGAAGCATGCCATGTGAAGTCCGAGTGTACAAAAATGTGCTATATTTAACCCAATGATTTTACAGAAGTCATTTATTCACTTTAGATCCATACCGCAGAAAATGAGTAAGATTGCAAAGTATTTTATTTCACATTAAAGATTAGAACACAATACAAAGCGTCCACAGCATCATCAAGAAACTGATGCCATAAATGACATGTGTTCTTTAAAACTTTTGCAGAAAAAAAGACCTTGTAACTTGAGAATATTACCAAGTTATTCATTGGAAAGAACGCAATTGCATGTTGTGGAGAAAAGGAAAACATCCATTGTTATCTGCAAAGATAGCACTAATAAACCTGCAAAAAATAGTCTAGAGTGCATTTGGTCTTCTGACGGATTCTACAAGAGGATTTTTGGACCTGAAATAAATATCTCAGGGGCTGAGGACAATACACAGACGCTGGATTAAAGAGGAAATGGAAACACAGAAACATAACCCCAGAACTATAAACTGGAACAAGAGGGCTTTTATACTCTCACACACCTGGAATTCTGTTCTGAAGAAGTTGGAACACAGATGGCGCTGTTGTTCAGCCTCTGGTGTAGGGAAGACAGTGCAGAATGTGTAAAACAGTTGGTCTGCTTAAATTTCTTTGTTTACCAAAGTTTAATACATTCTGCAGTTACCCTAATGCTGGGAGTATTGTAACAAGAACCAGGATTTGTGCATTGGAGAAATAATTTAATATGTAATTGGTTTAAATGTTAATAGTGCAAACATCATCTCTGAAACAATACATTAAAATCAAATAAACTTTTTCCATGTCCGTGTCCAGGCACACGGTCTGCAATGCACAATAGTACTGTTTTCATTTTTATTTATTGCCCTCTATCTTGTAGACATTCAGCCTCTTAAAACCAATCCAACTTCTGCACAGTATTGTCCATCACTGTAGTTGTAATTCACTTAGACCTAATTGCATTTTTCAATTATGTCCCAATTTGGATTTCCTTGAAGCAAAACAGCGAGGCCAACGCGGACACAACTTGCTCACAGCTTTGACTCTGCAACAAGGCACATAGACAGAAATCGAACCGCTTTCAATCAGTAACTTTTTCACATCAGCAAAATGAGAAAAGTTTGACTCTTCACGTCCGTTTTGTTTGTCCCTCGCCAACCTTCTTTATCGAGTATGAAACTATAACAGGGATGAATGCCAAAAGAGTCATCAACAAAGCAAAGTTGGAAAAGTATGTGTCCTCTTGTTTATTAGGACTTTGGGAATGCCAATAAGAGTGTGTCTATACAGTAGCAGTGTTGAGGAGGGCAGTCCACAGACACAATGACCTTCTGCTATTCTTCCCTTCATAATGACCCAGACACAGCACAGGCCATCAGCAGGACTCTAATAACACAAACACTCTCCATCATGGGCTAATAAACGCACAGTCGGCTGCAGGAGTCACGGTTGGGCCAGAGCTTCTCCACGCAGCCACAAAGCCCTGAGTCCGACGCCCTAAACGGGAAACATCCAGCTTATCGATTCTAGATGGTGGCCTGTGACGCCATGAGGTGCTAACTACATTCCTCCTCAGTCCCAGACACCGACAAATAGCACAGTGAAAAGAAAACATACTCGAAGCAAAAGATTTTAACACAATCAATCCTTTTGGCTCATTTGTTCGCAGCACCCTTGTATACACACTTGCAGGGGTGGGATTTTTTAAACTCGTTACTCTTTTCTTAATTGGTAGAGAGATTCCATCCTTTTTAGCCTCACAGCAACCCCTCCGGGGGAATGCTGATTAATTGTGCAAGGAGACCATCCCCTCCCCACAGACACACACGCGCCATACATTTGTGTGCAGACACACACACGCAGCAAATCTTCATTTAGTGAATATTAACGTCATATATGTTGATAGTACGAGGCTTCTGGGCATAGTAAGTATGCGTAACCAATGACAACGTAAAAGTGACCATTAATGATCCAACACTAAATCCTGCAGAGGTGAAATAAGTCTGGATATAATCTCTTATGCCAGTCCATATCCATTTGCATTATTTCAAGTGACAAGCTGGAGTCCCCTTTCAATTGAATGTAAGTCTTAGTCATTGGATACACACATGAAGCATAACATTTAACATATTTAGACATTTCTTCCTTCACATTATGGTTCTCAGTATAAAAGGCAGTTACTGACTGAGTTTGAGAATGTATCCATACAGCTGGTCTGAGAACGCCTCCAGAGAGAATTTATCTTGTACCCTGGTTCTGCCAGCCTGTCCCATGTCTTTGCGGAGGTGGGGCTCTTTAACGAGCCGCTCCATAGCCCCAGAGAAGGCCTCTGCAGTGGGCTCGCACAGGAAGCCCGTCACCCCATCAGCCACACTCTCCAGGGGCCCCCCAGAGTTCACAGCGATAACAGGGCAGCAGCAGTACATGGCCTCCACTGGAACAATCCCAAAATGTTCTCTGCTTGGGGTGTACAACACAGCAGCGCTGGCCCGCAGCAGCTCCACCTTCAGGGAGTCTGAGGGGGAGCGTAAGAAGGTGACGCAGCCCTCCAAGTGGATCTGTTCTGCCAGATCCTTCAGCTCATTGTAATGCTGCACATTCTCTGTGACGCGCTCGTCATATCCTCCTGCCACCACCAGATGAACGCCGGCTGACTGCTCTTTGTTCAGTGAGCTCCGCAGAGCAGACAGTGCCTCCAGAGCCAGGCCCAGGTTCTTCTTACGCTCGTATCTATTCAGAGAGAGGAACATGCAGGATGTGCCCTCTGGAAGGAGGCCCCCCAGGCCCGAGTCCTGCGCGCTCGGCCGGTCAAAGGTGCTTGTGTTCAGAGAAGGATACAGCACGTCTGTCTGGACTCCACTCAGGCTCCTGAAGGTGTCTCTGAACACGCCGGCAGTGAACTGACTGTTTACCAGGATCTGAACAGAGAGGGCAGATAAGAGCCCCTATATCACACCACTATAATGAATCACATTATGGAGGAATAACACCTGGAGCCCTCAGGCCCAGACTAAATGTCACAGTTCCCATCAGTCCTTCAACAAGGTCGCTTCTTTATATGATGCCTTTTCTACAGAGTAGAAAGATAGAAGTTAAACATGTACAGGACATACCATGTCAGCCATACCAGTGGTCCATTCTTCCATCCAGTCAATAGGAGCACGATACATTTTCTTCAGAGTAGTTTTCCTTTGAGTCAGCAGCTGGTCCGGGAAGTGACAATAGAACAGAACCTTTTTCCTGTGACGAGAAAGTCTCAATACTGGGATACACACAGACACCTAAAGAGAAAAAACAAAAAAATCAGAATGATACAAATGCATACTACACAAGCAGCCCCAGGTCTCCAAGATGTCTGCCTATTAAAATCAATGGCCTGTGCTCATTGGCACATGCCTGCACTATGGACGTCCCAAACATTAGCGGAAGTGCCGCATTTTGGTCAGCTCTGGTTTGTCCCGGTCTTGCGCTGTGATTCTACTTCCGTAAGACCAGAGTAACTGACCAATCAGCAGTGGGCGGCAGCACAGATCAGAGCTGCCACCCAATTCACATAACACTAGTCCCTCACTGATCCTCCTGCAGGTGGTGGGTCCTCAGGAAGATGGCTGCTGCTCCGTCAACGATAGCACAAGTGTCTTGTCCAGGGACACAACGTCAGCACACATCAGTGGGAGCAGGTGACATGGTTCATGGTGGGCTCCAACCCACGACCATTAGGTTCAAAGGCCAATGCTCTACCAACTGAGCCACTGTTGCTCCAGGTCAGAGTTTTCTCCAATCAAAAAGATCCAGCACGTTGTCCTCTTGTAATGCGTTACAAACATTTGTAAAATGTAAACGTATGCATCTGTTCTCTGCTGTTCATAATAATATGACTATTACAAACAGCAGAGACAAAAATGGTCTATGACAAGAGGTATTCATTCCTTCATTCTATACAATCCATGTGAATTCAATCAGCAGTGCCGCAGGCCCCTTGTTCATGCTAGATACGGGTCAAAGCAGCAATACCCTCTCCAGATAAAATTTATCCATGATACTACATCATGGTTAAGTTGGTAAGGTTGTTATATTACTAAAAAATGTGTTTAATTAAGCTATTAAATTGTCCCAACCAGTCATAACTACTAAACAAACAGTGTGATGTTGAGCTGTTCACCTGATCACAAAACACGACATCATACTCCAGTCCACTAAAGAAAACCAGATATAATGCCACATAAATCATCCTTAGATATGCACAGAGAGCATGGAGGTATCCGCACAAACTCGTAGGAAGCCAGTCACCAACACAGACCTAGAATAAGAAAAAAACTGAATAAAAAAGGGTCACATTGGTTTTACAAGAGGAATACTATAACACAGAATACTAAGGGCGCATTTGGTCAAGTGGACTCTGTTCACTTCAGAAGCAAATCAAACAGTTGTCACAATGTTGCTGCACTGTTTGAAAGTGAATTAGCTGAGGGGACAAATTGACCGCTATACATATGATGCTTTGGCATGCTCACTAACAAAGCGTATTCAGCCTACAGTACACTTTATTTTGGCCGAGTGTGAACCCGATTAATCAACATACCACAGGGAGCTCTGGATCAAGGGTTTCCGAGAAGCAGTGTGCGGGGTCATAGTGAGCAGTCCAAATCTGAACACTGCATCCTTGAGATTTCAGAGCCACTGCTGCATCCACGACTAGCCTCTCTGCACCACCAATCCCCAGGTCAGGGTGGAGAAACACCACTCGCACCATCCTAAAAAGACACAGAAACTCAAACTTTAACCAGAACTGTGTTAGATTTGTATGTTTGAATAGGGCACACGCACATTATTAGAAACCCTCTTACTACTGTCCTATATGTGCGATGCAACATCGAAATTTCCCCACTGTGGGACGAATAAAGGAATTCTTATCTTATGATTACATACAAGTAAGCCATGGTGTTGAAGAGGTTAATAAAACATGAAATGTATAAATAAGACACAGACTCAAGATTAGAATAAAGGATTTTTAAAAATTCAGGACATTAGACAGGCGGCACTTCTCAGCAAGGAGGTCCTGGGTTTTGAATCCCGGCCAGAATAGGGCCTTTCTGAGTGGCGTTTGCATGTTCTCTCCGTGTCTGTGTAGGTTTACTTCAGTACTATGTACAATAGTACTGGCATGGCCTGTACTGGCGACCCCTCTCCCACCTCTGTGTGGAGTGAGAGGACAAAAGCCCGCAATTGTAAACCGCTTTGTGACTCTGGTCTGTGAAAGGCGGTATATAAATAAAGATTAGTTAGACCACATTGATATTACAAACTAATCTTGCAGTCAGAGAGACATGCAGCGAAATGTTATTTACATATATTTATTACATAAAGTTATTTACATGTATTTTATTATATAATTTATAATGTCAGTTTTATACAATGTAAAGGCACAGATGATTTGTGTATTGTAGTCATGTAGTAACCTTCTGAAACCTGAAAATAAACATGGCTGAACGTTTATTTACATTTCATCAATGGACTTGATTAGGACAGTTCACACACACTAGAATAACTACATACATCTTGTTTTTAATATGAATAATATCTTATCAAAAGTGAGGGACATATGCATTGTATTATTGATATTGATGAGGAAATAAAAGGAACTCTGCAAAAGTCGGTTTGACAGACTGGAGAGAGAAACATGGTTGAGCAAAATTGAAAATGAGTACATATCCATTGATCAATAGAGCGTAACAATCAAAACAGCTTACAAACCAATACCACGATATGTATTTTTCTGAATAATGAATGCCACTAGTGGAAGAAGAGATGAAAGAAAACTTAAATGTTACCTTTGGTTCTCTTGACTTCTTCCACTACCGATAAGACTCGTCTATCCTTCGTTTTATCAACACAGGATTTAAAGAAACTGGCAAGCCTCGGCCGCCATAGTGGCTCTGAACTCTATTTAAAACTCTTCTGCACACGCTCCGTGATTGACCCAAAATGGCTGCGTTTTCATACATGCATTTCCGGTAAGACACGTCAACTTGCCTAGCAAGTGGTTCAACAATCTGCCTTTACAATAATGACAAGTTTGTCATGTGTTTTAATATTAATTTACACATTTATGAACACTTTTATTATTTTGACGATTTTATGACGGAATAATAAACACATATTTTATAATCAGTATTTTTAATTGTACATATTGTGTAAAAAACCGGCCAGGCATTTACTCGTCTTTCTTAGTTTCTCAGCGCTGTCTGCAGTCGTGTCCTTTTTAGATAGGCGTCAGCGTTGTTGGATTTCTGCTCAAATTTACTCCTATTCCTTTTTCCTTCTGCCCGTTTGACGTGGACATCAGCTGAAAAGGAGCACACCGTTTATAGCCTCTGATCGCAATAACATAGTTTAATCATGGTAAGTCAGGTTTCCGATCGTCAAAGTAAGAATAGCTCTTGATGCTCACTGCTAAGCTAGTCCATTCATTTAGATTATTTCTGTGAATTAGCTGGTTAGCATTAGCTTCTCAATGCAGACGTGGCTCTTTAGAGAAGCTACAGCCTACAACTTAACTAATACTTAAGTTCATGCAATTTCTTTAGACTCAAATTCTGATGCAATTTAGAATGTAATTTATGAGGCACTAGCATCATATTTTACTGGCTCGATAGATACATGAATGAAGCTGTAACAAGTGTAAATCTGGCAGTCAAGTTACATTACTATTACTGTAACGTCATAATTACTACATAGGCTATTTAATTGTATCCCTTTTATGTAGAAATGTTCAAAATTGAAACGAATAAATGTGAATTTAATAAATGTTAGCATGATGATGGGTGATATAAAAAAAAATAGGTAGGGCTCTAAAACATTGACTACTTATCAGGAACGAATATTTTGATAATTTGATAATGCCATATTGATGTTCTTAAAAGCTTAAAAACAATTGGCTGAGAGTAAAGGATTTTATAACTTCACCAGTATTTCGCGCTTTACCCTTGAAAACAATGGTTGATTAATACTTTCATAAAGTATATTGACTTGAATAGTTACTAGCTTCATCTATTTGCAAAATAATAGTTGTTGTCTGCAAGTGTAGTCTTCAGCCAGGACTCTGGTATGTAAAAAGAAAAAGGATCATATAGTCAGGAGCCAGAGCTTCTCCTGTGTGGCCCCATATTAGCCCCAGAGCCACTATTACTGAGGGCAAAAGAAAAATAAAACACTGATGCACATGGTATTCATGATTTCCACCAACTTTGTTTTCAGCCTGGACCAGCAGCGAGCGCAACCAATGTGGGGGCTTCCAGCCGTTCCCCAAGTAAGACTGTCGCTCCTCGTGCAGCAGGCTCCACAGTCCGGCAAAGGTACATCTGTCCACATAATACTGAGGTTGAATAATAACTTGTATTTGGGGCAAAAATTCACAAGTTTGTGTCAATGAACCAAAGTCTTTGAGAGCTTGGATTCACATCTACATCATAAAAAATATTTTTTTGCAATCAATATTATGGGATGTTTTATGCATGTTTTTATGTCAAAGAAAATTGCGCAAAAAACACTTATTGTTGAGCAATGTTTTTGTTGTTGTTGCACTCATTGACTGTATATAGATGGACACAGTTAACCCTCTCGATAACAGTCTTCATCACACTCACCATTTTGGGCTAAAAAAAAACCAATGACTCAGTAGTGGTGTTCATTCTGTCTGTGTAAATCCAGATACGAGCCATACTAACTTCCAAATCAGGAGCCTTCGGTCGCTGAAATTCAGCTTGAGTTTGCGAATAGCGTAAGAGAGGGGACAGACCGATGTCACTCCTGACAACTAAACTAACAAAATGTGCATACATTTGGCTCCAGTTCATGCTCGGTCGGTCAATTTCTAATATTCAGTCTATATTTGCATGGCACAACGTTAATGATACACACAGGGTTTAATCAGCTTTTTACCATTACTGTCAATTTGAATTAGAGTCACATTATTATCACATCCAACAAAACCTCTGTTTCACTTCAGCCTACATTGTAATTCTGTACATTCAACTATGACAATGTACACATTTCCATCATGACATCCTACTTTATATGAATACCAGGCAGAGTAACGCCACCATTTTAGACTTTTAGACTGTGTGTACATGCTCCAGACCTATGCTCACAGTTATTATTACTAAAGTTTGGATGTATTCGTTTCTAGTAATTTAACTACATGTTATTAACTGTGTCATTAACACTGAATGTGACCAATAAAGGTATCGGCCTATCTATTAGATTTTTTCCTTGTTTTTCTTTTTTTTTCTCTCTGTGCATTTGGTGTCCTTGTATAGTCTTTTATATGGACCTTGAGTCTGGAATAAAGATTGATTTAATAGGAACCTAACTCTGTCTAATGTAAGGCTAGTAATCCCTCTAAAACTGATTTAGTTTCTGGCGATCACTTTTCCAAGTAGATTTAATTTATTTTTTGTTTTGTAAAGGTTTGGGCAACATCTCTCTGACTGGGTGCATTTTGTTTCGCAGGAAAACAGCGAGCAGTGGCACTCGCAGTGGAGGCAGACCCACATCAGCGGGAACAGGGGGCATGTGGCGCTTCTACACTGAGGACTCACCAGGCCTTAAAGTGTACGTCTGCTCCAAACACACACACACCAAGCTGACCTCATTTCCTCTTTGACATTTTACCTGATCCACTCATAAGCAACTACTTAAGAGCAATTTATCTTCATCATCTGAAATGGGAGGAAACTGTAATGAGAGGAAATTACCCCAACGTGCTTCTGTTGTCCCACAAATGATTTCTACGTAATGTGTGTACAGTGTTTTATACACACAGTTAAGTACTTTCACTTCCTAACAGGGCTTGGAAATACTTGTCTTTCCCCTTATTGTTGGCCACTGTGGCTGCTCCTGTTCAAAACGTGATATGGTTTTTAAAGGTGCACTGTGTGACTTTTCTGGAAGAGGATCTGCCATCTCCATAGTATCTCAGTTCAGTTTTCCCACCGGTGTTCAAACAAAATGAATAATAGCAACTTGAATGCAAGGGATATTTATTATAGTAGACACATCAGTACATTTGCTTACACTTTGATTGGACCCAAGTCACCTTTTAAAAAAACTGTGGTTTACAGTCTTACAATATCCTTAATTTTGAGTTAAGTTAATTTATTCAACTAATATTTTATTATAGATACATTTTATGAAACATGACGTCTAATTTGGAGGATTATGGCTTACATTCCATTTTCTGAGACTTTTTATTTGGGTTTTTACAGCTGTGAGACAATTATAACAAATAGAGGCTTGATATATATCACTTGAGGTCTTTAGTACATTACAGACTCACTGTCATAACTTGGTTTCACATGTATGAATTATAAATGGACTTTTGAACAATATTCTGATTTACCCAAAGTGCTTTTCATCATGCCCAAAGGCAGTATTCACATGGCAGTATTCCTTCTCCCATAATAACTGACCAATCGGGTGCCTTCTTCTCCCAAAATCTGCTTTGGGTTGTGAATAGTGCGAGTGGAAACCTGATTGGCTCTTTGGTTGCTCAGTTTTTATCTGAGAAACTGGTCACTTTCTTTCTAGGTTATTTAATTAGATGGATCTATCTTCCAGCAGAAGTTGAACATTTGTGAACGTCATCCCGACTTCAGAAATTTATACAGAAACAATGCGCAGTTGCACAGTGCGCCACTCAGCATCAGTTGAATGTTGTTGTATAATTTTCAGTCATTTTTAAGTAAGAATTTAGGATATATTTTACTATCTTTGTGGACCCCAGGAAGACTAGCGACCGCTTGCGGAAGCAAATGGGGGATCCAAATAATTAAATACAAATATAAAGAGTCAACTGGCTGAAGTGGCTTTTGGAACTGGAAATGAGTTGTTGAGTCCTCTTTCTAAACTTTCCGTTACCCCCATCCAAATATTAGTGCAACTTTTGGGTCCTGTGGCTCCAGCAGCAGATCAATGCAGCGACGTATTGAGTGTTTGTGCAGTTGGAGGAGGGCAGACGTGTGGAACATTGCTGTACATATCGAGTATGTGTTTGTTCCTCTGTTAGACTCCTGCCTCAAAGCTTCATTAAAGGATCGCCTCGAAAAGGTCAACTCAATTACAGCCTCCTGACAAGAGGGAGGGGCGGGAGGGGGCAGAGGAGATGGTCGGCATGGCAATGTTGCTACTTCCCCATGCGCCCCACACTCAGTCCCTCCTTCAGACACCTCAGCCCCTCCTCGTATCCAAATCTCGTCAATAAAATCGTTTGCGTCGGCGATCCTCGAGGGGTCGACTTAGCATCGCAGCACGAGTGGCCGGAGGTGTGTTTTGATCACTTGTGTTTGCTTTTCCACAGGGGACCCGTGCCGGTGTTGGTCATGAGCCTGCTCTTCATCGCTTCAGTCTTCATGCTTCACATTTGGGGAAAATACACCCGCTCTTAAGAACTGCTGCCTGTCACACCGGACTTCTGGATCTCGGCCTCTACACACATTGGATCAGGACCAAATGACTCCTCAGACACAAACTGGATTTATACATCACTGTGCAACATCTGAGTGTCCAAGTGGTTCCCTGTTGCTTGATTATTGTCATTTCTTAAAGGGACACACACACCTTCATTCATTGGAAAAGCCTTTATGCCATAGACTCAAACTGGGTTGTCTTCATAATTTCCTCACTGATCTATCTCCAGTGTTAAAATATATATTTTTTGTTTTAGCTCCTGACTAACAGCCTATAGGAGTTAGACTAGCTTTTTGTTAGCAACATTTGTACAAAATGTGATTTATAAAATTGTACAATAAAAATTAAAAAATGTCCGTTTCCTTTTATTATATTGTCTCACAAACCGCTACTACACGCAGTCACACAAAAATCGTTTGTGTCTAAATGTTTTGCCTGGATGGTTCTGCAGTATGACATTAAATCTCCTGGATGTGTTTATTGGCACTATTGAAAGATTAGGCTCCTCAGTTTATCCTGAGATATTTTATTCTTTCGGGCATAAGACAGCAGCACATCTGTCTTTATTTACTTCACTCTATTACTATTGTTTTTAGAATGTTGTATTTATTGATGTGTTTCTGCTGCTGACCACCTGAATTTCTCCTACGTGGGTATCAGTATTAGTATCCGTATCTAATCTCCCGCTACCCAAAGGTGCAGTTCCATTCCTTCTGGATTCTAAATCCGGTGATCTGAGCCATCTCTAAACTTCAACATCTGCCCATAACTTTTTGCTTACTCAAACAAACCCTGGTGATAGTTTTACCCTCCTGTAGAAAGTATACACTTGCTTTTTACACCCGAAAATATGTAAAACGCAGCGTTCATTTGCACTGAAAGAGAGCAACAATAGGTTGCAGTTAATTTGCACCATACTGTATCAGGGGCTTTTTTTAATTCAGAAAGTCATCTCTAAGAAAAAGCTTCAAATGCATATCTTATTTTTCAATTCATTCATTTGCATATCAAGCTGAAATAATTGGTCTTTTTCTTACAAATTTCAGTATTCAAATTTTTACTTGAGCCTTTATAACAACTGGCTGCATATGCTACAGGTGTTTTCATTGATGATCCTGAGGGGGGCGCTCCAGACTTCTTGGTAAAGTTGTGCAGACTTTGAGTCTGGAGTGTTGTATGTCTGGTTCATTTGTGGAGTCTGCACATGAGACTTCTGCATGACCAGATGAAGGCCCATTTTCAGAATATTCAGAGATAATTTGAAAATGTTTAAATATGAACGTGATTTTATTTAGTTTCATTTATCAATGAAACTATGCGTTTCGCAAAACTGCGCTCTAAAAACTATGACTAATGATCAAACACCGACTGACCACCACCAATCATTCACCAGACTCATACTTGGCAAGTGTCTGGGAGCTTAGCTTCAGGGATCAAGTTTTCACACAATAGATAAATAAGAAAGGGTTAGGGGTTAGGGTTAGGAGAGAATACTTACAATCAGAAAGTCCTTGATCCGGATTGCCAGAACTCACAGCATCGTAATAATAGTAATCTCACTGGTAAATGTGGCCGAAGAACTAAAAAAGGTCATGATTCTCAAATCATTAATGACAAAACATGAAATAAAACAAGGATTTCTATCTTTGTTTAAAAAGTGTTGGTTATAGATTTGTTGTTGACAAAACAATTTTCTGTTCAGATGTTATGGTCCCAGCTGGATTCGTCAGCATATCTGGCATCCTGAGTCAGGGAGAGTGGGAGAGGTTGCAGTACCACTTTTGGCCAGATTTTTATATACTGCTCCTTTAATCAAAAAAATGAAATAGTTCTGTCTGGGGAAAAAATACAAAAATTGAAATTGAATTTGGCTCTACTTCCTGTAAATGTCTGTATTTTACAACTTTTCATGAAAAGCATACACATGTAAAACTATACTTTGAAAAGCCAATGAAACCTGCATGTATGTCTCCTTCTGCTCATCTCAGTGTGTGCACAGAGCCATGTTTAAAGAAGAAATATTACACATCATTTTTGTCCATTAAAAATGATTATGTGAGTATTTACGTTATCACCTCCTGGAATGTAAAATAATATTTTACCTTAACCTCACCCTAAGAGTTTTTCCTTGCCGATGAAGGAGGGTCTGTTGGACAGTTAGTGTCCACAAAACGGACTGTGGCGATGATCCAGGACACTTTAACATTCTACACATTTATCAACATGTGTTCTATATTCTTTGTGTGTTTTAACTGTTGATTTTCTGATCTGTGTTGGTTATTCAATGGTTCTGTGATTTCAAGTCCTCTGAGATGACTGTTGTGATTTAGGGCGATACAAGAATAAATTGTATTGTATTGTATTGTAAGATACATGATAAGAAATTATGGATAAAGAATGCGTTCAGCATGTAACTCTCAATGCTGCCCCACAAGGATTTGTTTTAATTCAGTAGCCTTCTCTGTCCGGGCTCCTCGGCTTTGGAACGACCTGCCCGAGGAGATAAGGCTCGCACCATCAGTATCCTCTTTTAAATCTCTTCTTAATACCCACTTTTATCAAACAGCTTTTAACTGTTAGTTTTAAACTTCACATGCTGTATTTTAATGTCTGCTTTGTCTTTGTTGTGTCTCTTTTGTGTTTTGCTCTGTTTGCTTTGTGTTTCTGTATCTAATTATTTTGACCTTGTATTATGACTGTTTTTATTGTTTATCATGCTGACTGTGCAGCGCTTTGTAAACATTGTTTTTAAAAGTGCTATACAAATAAAGATTATTATTATTATATTAATTTAAATTTTACAATTACCAGCTGCAAACACACCCATTGTAAAGAACGTCACCTGAGAAATGACCAAAACCTAATTTAGTCAGAAGGGGCGAAGTTACATGTTTGTGCCCGATATTAGCGTAAATGGATCTAAAACAAGTCTGTGACAAGTCTGTGACTCTGTGACAATGTTGAAACATGGGGAAAAAGTATATGTCTTCTTTAAAGGCGCATTCCCGACTGTCCTGGACTGAGATGTTATTGCTCAGAATGTATGTTTATGTTTCCAATATATAAAAAGGGAAGTTTAATGATGATCTGTGTACAGGACTAATTACAGTAACCCTTTAATGGCCTTTCACCTCTTGAGTCACTATGTCTACTCTAAAAACGTAATTTCTTTCTTTGCGGAGTAAACGTTAAAGGTTTAAGGTACAGGATTGACCCGGGGCTTCGGACCCAGCTGGCCCTTTGGCTAAGTTTGCTTTGTCTGTAAACAAATCAAAACAACAACATTTGCATGAACCCAAGCAAAAAGCGGACCACATACAGTTGAGCAATGTGCATGGATCTTCTTTATTAATTGATGGTTGGCTGCTGTAGGCCATTCGTAGCCTTGTTTTCCCGCTGGATCGTCGTGTTCATGATGGAGAGGGCCTCTGCCACATGTCTGTCCCCTCCACTCGTGTCCGACACACACGGGGGCCCCAATCCACAGCGGCTCGACACGCACGGAGCCCGAATTATTCAACAAAGACATTAAAAATGGAAGGAGACGGAATCACTGCCGAGTCCAATGTGACCCCTCTACCTAATACCGATGTGGTATTACTGTTCCTTCTATCTTACTGGCGATAAAACAGTTTGGTTTCCACATGCATGTCTTTCTCGGCTCTGTCAAGTGCTTGGATCAGCTTTATCAGACAGGAGATTGAAGAAAAGATAAGACTCTCCTCTTCAGCGTTCAGCCCTAAGTGTCAAATCGTGACTCACAGGGCTTTCTTATATGAAAAAGAAGTAACATGTTCAAATCAATAAAAAAATTCTTGTATAGCCCTGAATCACAACAGTAGTTATCTCCAAGGACATGACAAAACCTTTGAAATCGCCAATCAAAACAGTTAAAACACTCTCTTTGTGAACAATAAGACCCCAACATGCTGTTTTAATCTTTTTAACTTGGCATCCCGTGTATGACAGTAGCTCAGTTGGTAGAGCATTGGCCTTAAGGCCAGAAGGTCGTGGGTTCAATTCCCACCTCTGCACCTTCTCCACCGACTCCCACTGATGACTGCTGTCGTTGTGTCCTTGGGCAAGACACTTAACCCCACTTTGCCCAAAGCCCCCACTGAAAGATCAAGGCTATGCTCACACTCAGAGAGCAGCCGTCCTCCTGTGGACTCACCACCTGCAGAGGGTCAGTGAGGGGCTGGTGCTATGAGACTTGGGTGGCATCTCTGATTGCCACCCCCCTGACCCAGAAATGGATTAAAGGGTAGAAAATGGATGGATGGATCCCGTGTATACTACAGCTGATAAATATTTCTGTCTGAAAAAGCTGATACAAAAATACTGTAACCCAAACTGTTTTGAGAACTAGTTGAATTGGACTAGTTTGTTAAGTTTTTTTTATTTAGACAGTTAGGTACTCAAGCTTTAACTTGAAATGTGTCTTGCCCAATAGTGGCATTGGAAGCATGTGTGAAATACAGGTGAACAAATTCCATATAAAAACAATAAAGTGGATCCATGCTTCTCTGATTGTAAACAGAAAACAAGAACTCTTACCGTCATCAGACTCAATATCACTTCAATTTACTTTTGTATAGCCCTATATAACAACAGAAGTCATCTCGGAGTGCTTTACAAAGTCGCCGATTCGCCAACAAAAAATCATAGAATCAAACCGTTCAAACGCAGGAAATTCAATAATAACATAAAAAGATGAGCCATTGGTCCATAAATGTTAATAAATGTCCTTAAATGTACTGGACGGTCACCACTGTTCTTAGACACGCCCCTGCATCAGCAAAGAACATCTAGAAGACTTGCCTCTCCACAGATAAGAACTCATTTTCGTATTTGTTTATTTGTCCATGTCATCATATCGCACACATTTTATATATCATAAAAACATTTGTGAAACAGGAACAAACATGGCCCGTGGCATTACGGCCCTGGGGATTCGGCCATACTGTCGTCTATCCCA